TACTTAAAGAAAGAATTTGCCCCAGTGTGATAGGGAAGTATATTATTTAGGGCTGCCTCAAAATGGAAAATGCTGAGCTCCTTGCTACCTAAAATATTAAGAGTTTGCTGGATAACTCCTTAGCAACCATACTTTAAAAAGGAGTTTTTAAAGAGCTCATAGAAGTAAAGAATAAGAAATTCTAGAGGAAATGAATGAAATAAGAACAAAAATGAAATAAGAATAAAGAATAAAATAAGAAAAATGAACAAAAGTGGTTATTCTGTAGAAGAGGGAGGAGTAAGATAAAATAGATAAGGGAAAGGTCGAAAAAAACTTTTCACAATGTGGGTCTTTATAATGCTTCAATTTATGAACCATGAGAAGGTATCACATGGTCAAAAATGAAAATATCAAAAATAAAATAAAAACAAATATTGAAAAATTAATTAAATAGAATAGCATAACAAGTATCATGCTAATACAAGTGCAAAGGTTAATATACTCATGTTTTGATAAATATAGATATATTAGCAATTATTGTTGTAACTATATTATATATATGTATGTATTTGTATGTTGTTTATTACTATATTCCATAAGAGTATAGCATTTATTTTGAGCCTAGTTCATAGCTAAATTTTCAATAAATAATTTGTTAAATGCATGGTAGATGAATAAATTTTAAGTTACTTGTAATCTTATCTTACTTCTTCTTCTTCTTTTTCTTAACTAGGTGCTAATCTGTGGAAATTTTAAGGGAATGAAAATTAAACCTGGCTCAATGGGAAAACCTTCTCCTGCTTTTGATGTTAAGGTTTGCACATCCTCTTCCAGGAGAATGTTTAACAACTCAATCTGTACCCTACCTACCACTCTCGCCCCCATATAAACTCTCTTTGTTTTGGTGGTGATTCCATTTTACTTCTATGATACTTTAATTTTTATAAAAATATGAAAATGAGTTAGAAATGTTAGCTAATAGGTCTCCATTATTTTGCAAATACCTATATTGTACCATACATTTCTAAGCATTTAATAAATGATAACCCATTAGGCTGGCTGCAGTGGCTCACGCCTGTAATCCCAACACTTTGAGAGGCTGAGGCAGGAGCATCACTTGAGCCTGGGAGTTCAAGACCAGCCTGGGCAACATTGTGAGACTGTCTCTACAGAAAAACAAAAACAAAAACAAAAACAAAAACTAGCCAGGTGTGGTGGTATGTGCCTGTGGTCCCAGTTATTCAGGAAGCTATGTTGGGAGGATTGCTTAAGCCTGGAAGCTTGGGGCTGCAGTGAGCCATGATCACACCACTTCGCTCCCGCCTGGGTCACAGGGCAAGACCCTGTCTCTAAATAAATAAATATTAACCCATTGAATTTCCAGAAAAAACCCTATGAGAAGCATACTAATATTAGAACCATCTTACAAACGAGGCACAAAGAGGTAAAATGATTCACCAGAGGTCACACAGCTAATAGCTCCTAGAGTTGGGATTTAATCCCCAGCAGTCTAGCTCCCATATCTGCACTCAACCACAACACAACACTGTCTCCCCAAGTGAGAGAGGTCAAGAACTTCTGGGAGGTCAACCAGGCCCAAAGAGCTTCAGTTTACAGTGGCTGCAGCACTTTCCCACTCTGCTCCCAGGCCTGCCTGGCCATTTCTGGGCTTTCAGTATCCATTGCCACTACTACCACCCGATGCCTAGGGGGCAGGCCACTTCCCCATCAGTACACTTTGTATAGGGTTAAAATTGTTCTCAGATCAACCCAGCATCAAAGCTGGGTGTAGCCAAAGAAACTTACACTAACATAGACACTCCTCAACTGATGATGGGGTTATGTCCCAAAATAAAGTCATCATAAGTTAAAAACATCCTGTGTCACAAATGCATAGCTGACTGGGAGCTGTGACTCACTGTTTCTGCCCAGCATCTAGAGAGAAGGACAGTTTCAACTGAATGGTTATCTCTTTAACACCATTGTAAAGTTGGGAAGTGGTAAGCTCAAACCATCTTTTTTTTTTTTTTTTTTGAGACAGAGTCTCGCTCTGTCACCCAGGCTGGAGTGCAGTGGTGCAATCTCGGCTCACTGCAACCTCCACCTCCTGGGTTCAAGCGATTCTCCTGCCTCAGCTTCCCGAGTAGCTGGGATTACAGGCGCGTGCCACCACGGCCAGCTAAAGTTCAAGCCATCTTAATTCAGAGACCTATCTGTACTTTAAGAGAAAGCAAAAGTAGCAAAAATATGGATGAATTAACAGAGTAGAGATCTTAGATAAATGTTTCCTAAGCTTATTTCATTATAAACATCATATGGATATTTGTTAAAAATTCTAATTCTCAGGCCCCTGGAGAGATTGATTCAATAGATTTGGAGTGGGATTCTGAAAGCTGAAATCTTGTAATTTTAACAAGCACCTCCAGGTAGTTTTTAGGATCAAGTAAGTTTGAGAGAGTTTAGATGAGCTTGACTGTTGTTGTAACTGTTTATAGAATAAACCAGATCCTGGGTCCTTTCTCTCACTTTAACCTTGCTATGGGAAGCTTGTCTCAAGATAGGATAGCCTAGTAGTTCAACTATATCTCTGCTATTCACTAGCTGAGTGTCTGTGGGTGAGCTGTTAAAGCTCTCTAAGCTCCAGTTTCCTGATTTGTAAAGTTGGGACTAGGGTGACCAACCTGTCTGTCTGCCTGGGAGTAATCTGGTTTTAGTACTTAAGGCAATACCATGAAGAACACACCCACCCGTCCCCACTTCAGTCCCCAGATGGTTGGTAATCCGAATAATAATAGAACTGATTTCATAGGTTTCTTGTGGTGATTAAATGAGATAATATGTTTAAAGAGCATATCAGAGTGCTTAGCACATAATAAAGGTCCGAAAAATGGGTGCCATTATTTACCTCTCCCTCACATTCCTCTTTGAAAAACTTCTGTAAGAAAAAATGGTAGGAGCCGTAGTTGCATTCCATAAACAGGCTTAACAATAGTTTGTTGGTTAACAGGCTACTTTAGGTTGCAGAAAGAAATATTGATAATTAAGCATGCTCATGTCTGTATTACAGGGAAGTTGATATGTAACACAGCTATATTCTTTTTCTTCCTCCCTTAATAGCAATTCCCAACATGCATGGCTATCAGGGCCTTACAGGCACAACTGTACTCACAGTGATTCCCACTGCAAGGTACCCCTACCTGTTCCCCATTAATTTGAGCCCAGTGGTTTTCTCGAGCAGCTATCTTTGAATGCAAATATGATGAGACTGAGAGGAAAACAGTATTCTGCCTGCATCCTCAATCATTTTTAACTCTTCCAAGGGCTTATTATTACTGGGCTTCTTGTTCCTCAGCTAAGAGCATCTGCAGTGATATTCTGGCATCTGGGGATATGCTCCAACCAGGTTAATATCAGATTTCTACAGCTTCAAAGCCCAAACTTTATAATCTTTTTTTGTTTGCTTTTAAATTTATTTTATTTTATTTTTTTTTTTTTTGTGACGGTGTTTTTTTCTTTTTATTCATTCTTGTTTTCAATTGCGCGATCTCGGCTCACCGCAACCTCCGCCTCCTGGGTTCAGGCAATTCTCCTGCCTCAGCCTCCTGAGCAGCTGGGACTACAGGCACGCGCCACCATGCCCAGCTAATTTTTTTTTGTATTTTTAGTAGAGACGGGGTTTCACCATGTTGACCAGGATGGTCTTGATCTCTTGACCTCGTGATCCACCCGCCTCGGCCTCCCAAAGTGCTGGGATTACAGGCTTGAGCCACCGCGCCCGGCCTGCTTTTAAATTTAAATACTCATAATTTTCATGTTTAAACATTTTAACACCCTTTGAACAATGAGGAACATGATTCTCCCCAAAGACAGAAGATTTTATCTATATTCCCATCTATTAAAATCTGTGATAAATAACTGGAACTTTTAAAATACTTCCTTTCCATCAATAATTCCTTCATATCTGGAACCACATATTTCTTTAGATAACTGGGTGGGAATTTATATTTTTTTATTAGCAAGAGCTTAAAGGGAAGTTTTTACTCTTAGAATTCCTTTCCCATTGAAGTTTCTCATTCAGCACATAAGCCCCTTTCCTTTTGGAAAGTGCTAGATAAGTATTTTACTTATTCTCTATGCAGGACACACCTAGGATATAAAAGCAGAATTCTGATACTTAGAAACAGCTAAAAGTCATTTAGAGCAAAATCTGGTATAAAATCAGCAATCAACTTGAGAAATGCTAATCTGATTTTTAAAAAATTGGATTAAACTCCTTAGAAGCATTGCACAGAGGAGTGTAATGATTAAAAGCATGTGATCTAGAGTGTGAGTGCTGAGATTTGGATTCCAGCTCAGTCATGCATAGTGTTACTTAAACTCTCTATACCTCAGTTACTTCATGTGTAAAATGGGCATAAAAGTTCTAACCATATAGGGCTATAGTACTTAAAGCTTTAGCATTTAATACGTAGCATGCAGTAAGTACTTAATAAATGCTAGCTACTATTAGGTACTTCAAGAAATGATGAAGATTGGAGAGAGGGAAAGAGAGCAAGGCTGTGGCTTACTCGCCATTGTCAACCAGAGATCATTCCCCTTTTCCTGTTTAGATTGGGCTTCTGAAGTAAGGTTCTGTAGGTTCCATGGCTAAAAAAAGTTTGAAAACCAATAATGAAGTTATTTATTTATTGAGAGGAAAAGATAACCAAGAGTTATTGCTAAATGATAAAAGCAGGTTGGCAAACTTGCATATTATAAAGCAATCCTATTTTTTCTTTTTTTTTTGAGACGGAGTTTCAGTTGTTGCTCAGGCTGGGGTAGAATGGCGTGATCTTGGCTCACTGCAACCTCCCCCTCCCGGGTTCAAGCGATTCTCCTGCCTCAGCCTTCCAAGTAGCTGGGATTATAGGCGCCCACCACCACACCTGGCTAATTTTTGTATTTTTAGTAGAAATGGCATTTCACCATGTTAGCCAGGCTGGTCTCGAACTCCTGACCTCAGGTAATCTGCCTGCCTCAGCCTCCCAAAGTGCTGAGATTACAGGCATGAGCCACTGTGCCCGGCCAGCAATCCTATTTTTCTATTTGTTTATATTATCTCAAAGGATATTACCAAAATGTGATTATTACTGGATGGTAACATTTAAAAAATTTTTTATCCTTCTTTCACATTTTGGTAACCTGTACTTAATATTTTATGCAATAAGAATTTAAATAAATATATTTATCTTAGGAATTTAAAGTATATTTAAAATTTTTGGGGGGCCAGGTACAGTGGCTTATGCCTGTAATCCCAGTACTTTGGGAGGCCAATGCTGGAGGATCACTTGAAGCCGGGAACCAGCCTGGGCAACATAACGAGACCCTTGTCTCTACAAAAAATCAAAATAAACATTAGCTGAGCATAATGGCATGTGTTTGTAGCTTCAGCTGCTTGGGAAGCTGAGGTGGGAGGATTGCTTGAGGCCACGAGTTGGATGCTGCAGTGATCTATGAGCTACGATTGCACCGCTGCACACTAGCCTTGGTGACAAAGTGAGATCTTGTCTCACACAAAACAATTTTTTAAGTCTTCATTTTTAAATGGCAAAAAACAAAACGTGCAAAGTTAATATTTACGCTGTGACATTAAACAAAAATTTCCTTAAATAAATTGTGCTATTTTATCCTAGATTGTAGATGGAAATGGCAATGTTCTACCTCCTGGACAAGAAGGGGATATTGGCATTCGAGTTCTACCTAACCGACCATTTGGCCTTTTTACTCATTATGTAGTAAGTGACTTAGTGAATAATCTCTTATTTTCTATTTATTTCTCAAGTTCTTGGTAACTATCCTGGTTAGCCACAAAATATACCTAGGATGGATACTTGGCGCTTTCTCGAGAGATTGCTTGTCCTGATTGTAATCCCAAAGACAAGAAATTGAAGAAATATCCAAATTCCTGCTGAAGAAAAAAAAGCAGCTTGTCCCCTGAGGCTAGATCTCTGTTTCAGGTCCATGAAGGCAAAAGGAAGGGACTCTAGAAAGAAAAAAGCCTCTTAACAGCCCTAGAGCAAAAAAGCCTCTTAACATCCACGGAGCCTCTCAATTATCAAACAAAACCCACTCATTTTCCTGAAATCCAATTAGTGCTCTCTCAGGAAGAATGAGAGGGATGGGGGATGAAAGGGTGGTGGGATTAAGCAAATGACTTTCACTAGAGAGGTTCTAACCTCCTTATTGTTTGCAAGAATATTTTCATCTCTAATCACAGTACACAAATTAGAGCAAAATCTATATGTATAAGGTCCAGATGCTACTTGTCAGTGTATTTTATATAATGTAACAGTAACTTGTTCATTTCTTTTATGTCAAATTTGCAGAACCACTTTTGTTACTGTGTAAAACAAAACAAAACACAAACCAAAAACAAACCTTTGCTCTTTTGAGTTACCAGGTGTCAGTGCTTTCTTTTAACTCTAAGTATTTACTTCTCTCTCTTCCCACCAGCATTATATATTAATCAGTTAGCAAAAGACACTTTAGTTTACTTCTCTGAGCTCCAAGCTCCTGCAATATTTATCTATCTAAGAAAATTCTTAAGATGGAAACATGCCTAATCTTTGTATGTAGTTTACCTTTCTTCTCTCGGGCTAGCTCCATGCTGGAATTTCATCCTTATTTTCACACTCTGGCTCTTCCTAACTCTAATGCTTCTCAAAGGAGCCAAACTTTTCTGCTTTCTGGAACATTTAAAAATCCAACTGAGGGCTGGTCACGACGGCTTACGCCTATAATCTCAGCACTTTGGGAGGCCGAGGTGGGCAGATCACTTGAGGTAAGGAGTTGACACCAGCCTGGCCAATATGGCAAAATCCCATCTCTACCAAAAAATACAAAAATTAGCTGAGTGTGGTGGTGCAAGCCTGTAGTCACAGCTACTTGGGAGGCTGAGACAGGAGAATCGCTTGAACCTGGGAAGCAGACGTTGCAGTGAGCCAAGATTGTGCTACTGCACTCCAGCCTGGGTGACAAAGTGAGACTCTGTCTCAAAAAAAAAAAAAAAAAAAAAGCCAATTGACCAGAAGAGTTAGATTCACCACATTAACAAAATGCTATTTGTTTTGCAGGATAATCCTTCAAAAACAGCTTCAACTCTACGAGGCAATTTCTATATTACTGGGGACAAAGGGTATATGGATGAAGACGGATATTTCTGGTTTGTTGCAAGATCAGATGATATCATATTATCCTCTGGGTAATTTTCTTTTCCATATGTGCATATGTCTGTGTTAACTGATCATCATGTTCCAGAGTGAACCTGCCACTCACCTATATGTATTCATCCTACATGCTTTTCTAGTTATCGAATTGGACCATTTGAGGTAGAAAGTGCCCTGAATGAACACCCTTCAGTTGCAGAGTCAGCTGTTGTCAACAGCCCAGACCCCATCAGAGGAGAGGTAAAAGAACTGATTCATCTCAATTTGTTGGCAGTTTAACACAAACTTACAAACAGTAGCTTAGTGAATGAAACAGAATTAACCAAATGATTCATTCACTAAATATGCAAGTCAGATAGAAATGTGCTAGTCAGAAAGAACTGCTACAAAATAAGATTAAATTATGAGCTGTAGCTCTGATCCTAACCAAAACCAAAAAATATAAGACTGAAAATATGTACTAGAAAGAATTTAAATTCTTTCCATGGTGGACTAGGGCAAAGATTGTGTGAATGTCAGGAACCAAGGCTCACATGAGGATGGGGTGACAGAAGTCAGCTGGATAGGATCAAGTTGTTACTCAGAAGGTCTGGAAACCAACAAGGTCCCTGGTGTAACGGAGGAGAATGGGCATCATATATCAGGAGTGAGAACAAGGTCAGAGGCTAGAACCGAGGTAACCATAAGCAGGCTGGGTAGAGGTAAATAAGTAGAGGTTTCAAGAAATAAGCTCTGAATAACACAGCAGTCCTGAAAGCCCATTCCTATTGGGGCTGACCACACAGTATTTTGGCTTAAAGGTACCATGCCAGGCAGCCTCCTGTTTTGCCTGTGTGTCTACAGCATGTCCCTAGGGTTTCTCTAGATGAGTTACAAGTTCCCACAATATTTCTTCAATCTGTATCCCTTCTAACACTGAACCCAAGTTTTGAAGATGACATTGATGTCAATACAAATCCAGAACTTTCTGTACCATGTATTCAAGCTCCTTATCTCAAATTCTAGGTATAGGGCTGCAAGCACAGGGCACAGGGCAGAGTTAGAAGATACTAATCTCAGGGGATGAAATAGGTCCTCAAGTTTAAGGCAGGCCAGGCACAGTGGCTCACACCTGTAATCCTAGCACTTTGGGAGGCTGAGGTGGGTGGATCACCTGAGGTCAGGAGTTTGAGACCAGCCTGGTCAACATGGTGAAACCCTGTCTCCACTAAAAAATACAAAAATTAGCAGGGCATGGTGGTGCACACCTGTAATCTCAGCTATTTGGGAGGCTGAGGCAGGAGAATCACTTGGACCCAGGAAGGGGAGGTTGCAGTGAACCACTTGCGTTCCAGCCTGGGCAACAGAATGAGACTCCGTCTCAAAAATAAAGTAAAATAAAATTTAAAAGTTTAAGGCAAAAATGGGAGATATGCATGTTACAGTGGAATGAGGGTGGATCTCCCCCCAGGACTGACTCCTTTAACTGATCTTTGATGCCAGAAGATACCCTGTAAGTCTTCCTGGTTGGATATTGCCCAGTGGCTGGGAATTGGCAGTTTGTCAAGTTGCTTGGATGAAAGTCCCTATCTACTATGAAAGGGTATACTCCAGGCAGTGGAGGGCAAGGAAAACAGTCAGTGATTATTGGTTTGTCTATTGCTCTGACCACCACCAGCAAGGTTTCACAAGTCTCAGCTCTTCCTGTACCTCACTCCTACCATCAGTCATCATCAGTTTTACTCACCTAGACAGGTGCTTACTTGGAACAGGATGGTAGCTGAGCCTTTGAGAACAGGGTTGGCTTGGCAGTCACCTGATATCCTAGAGTATAATACAGAAAAGATCTGTGTGGGTTGTGGTTCCCTCACAGCTCTGGGGTCTTGGCGTAGGGCTTAGATTAGTCAGAGTGAGGGGGAGAATGTAGCCAGTTTCTCAACACTGGTGGGCTGCAGGATTTCCTGGTAGGTGTGAGTGGGTGTCTCAAACGAGGTGTCCATGAACAAAATGACCACATGCTGCATTCCACCAGTGGTTCCTCCCTTTCTGTTGGCAGGCCTATTCTACCTGGGTTAGGTCCTTCTCCAGGCTGGGTCTTGCCAGGCCTTTAATTGGGTACCAAGTTCCAGAACTGATTAAAAAGAATATTTAGATTTGAAATACAATTTTAACATTGGAATGTGAAATAAACACTTGAGAAATACTTGTCTAGATCACTAGGTTCCTACATCTTTTGGATCACATACCTCTTTGAGAATTTGAAGAAAACCACAGGCCACTGATGGACTTATGCACCGATGGAAATGTTCTGTATTTGCACCATCCAATACGATAGCCATGCATGGCTATCAGTCACTTGAAATGTGGCTAGTGTGACTGAGAAAATTTAATCTTATTTAATTTTAATTCATTTAAATTGAAATAGCCACATGTAGCTAGTAGCTATCATATTGAATGGCACAGCCACTTTTCTCAGAAAAATACAAGATTTTGCATAGAATTTGAGAGAAATCTGAAGCCCACTTATGGACTTGGGGTTAAAAAATAAAACCCAAACTTCTTGTAATTCTATGACTACAACTAAGAGCTAACGTTTTTGATGACATACTATGTGCCAGACATTATACATCTATGCTAATTCATTTAATCATCATAATCTCTTTTACAGAGAAAGAAACTGAGGCACAAAGAGATTACCTAACTTGTCCAACATTACCCAACAAACTGTGACTTGAACCCAGCTGTTCTGACTTCAGAGTTCATACTTTTACTCATAACGTTAGGTTGTTCCTTGTTAATTTAACATTTTCTGTAGTCATTTAAAAAGATAAAGGAGACTTCACCCAAGATGTAGAAGTCAATATGTGAACCAGTATTACAAAGTTTTTAAAATAATTTGCCTTTGAATGACTTACTTATAACAAGCATATTTTTTTAATTTGCAAAAATGTTGCTAATGCAGCAGAACCAGCATAACTACATTTTATAAAATGTCAAGAAATGAATAGAACAAAATTATATCCATAGACACACATACACACAAGGGTTCACAACTGCCCTATGGCACATGTAAATTTAAAATGTTAAAGGGTTTTTTTATTAGAGACAAAGTCTCACTATGTTGCCGAGGCTCCTCTCAAACTCCTGGGCTCAAGCAATCCTCCTGTCTTGGCCTCCCAAATGTTGGGATTACAGGCATGAGCCACTGCACCCCACAAGGGTTTCGGGTAAAGACAAAAATGGGTAACAGCTCATAAAATGTAAAATTACCCACTGGTGAAGTTTTCAATATGTGAAAAAAGTATAACTTGAAGTCTTTGTTTCTCGCCAATAGCTGTTCTGAGTAATTTGTTGTTTCAAATAATTCATTTTCAATGAAATCTTTACTCCTAGATCCAAGTGGATAGGAAATGTTGCCAGCTTATCTTTAAGCTGGACAAATGAATCCTTGAGTTTCAGGCAATTAACTGCAGGATATTTAATCATAAAAAAGTTTCAGGGGACTCTCCTGGAACTGTGCCTACAGGAACCACCATTCCACAGCCAGCTCTGGGCTGGTAATCTGGCTTTGGAGGTACATACTAGTTGATGCACCTAGACTCATGCCTATAGGGAAGGCAGTAAATGGCAGTCCTGGCAGTGCCCTAGGAGAGAAAATGATAGTACTCCAAATTTACTTTTAAAGGGGTCTCTGAGGGATGGCCTATCTTTCTGTCTTCTCCATTAAAGGTCCAAAAACTAGGCAGGGTTTTCTAAAACATTTCTAGGAAGGATAAACTTTGGAGAACAGGATTTATAAGCATAAGGTAACAACATCTTTCTTGTCTTCTGCCAGTTAAAGGCCACCACAATTTCCACTCTTATTCCTCAGGGCCATGGAAATGGATCAGAGCAATAGCAAAGTGGCTGTTGGAATCTTCACAGCCTTGTGTAAAGACTACATGTTCTCTGTGAACTGTTCCCTTCAACAAAGACATGGCAAACTCAGGGTGACTACTGTTTATAAGTAGCCCCCATGCTGAGGGCTAGGCTGGACCAGGCTGGGTTGATGACACAGGTCCCAGAAGCTCTCCTGTGTTAGGTACAGACCAGGAAGTGTGTGAGTCAACTGGCTGGCTTAAGAACACAAAGTTGGGATCAAACTTTATTAAAACACTCTGGCCCACCCCACCAGGCACATAGATTCTCAGTTAGAGCAAGCAAATAAGACTTACTAAAACATACAAATGCATAACTCATTTTCCTGGTGTTTCAAATATTTATTTTAGGTAGTAAAGGCTTTTATTGTTCTGAACCCTGATTACAAGTCACATGATCAAGAACAACTAATAAAGGAGATTCAGGAGCATGTTAAAAAAACTACAGCACCTTACAAATATCCCAGAAAGGTAGGTATCCTAATTATGATGAATATTTGCTCAGTGTTATGGAAAATTTCAACTATTTTTACCTTTTAACGACTATTTTCTTCACTCATGTTACATACCACATGTCCCAAACTGAACTGATGACATATGGGTAAGAATCAGAATCTTTGAGATAAAAATGAAACTCTAAACCTATTTTGTTTGGTCCTTTGGACTTGCAGTAAATATTTAATATCAAGACAATTTCCTCAACAATACCCTTTTCCCTTCTTTGGTTGTTACCCAAAACCCATTCCAATGAGTATTCTTTCACCTAGAATTCATAATTGAACGGCTATATAATTGGCTTTATGCAAAGACAAAAATTTCCAGGCTAATTTTATTCCCCTTCATGCCAACAGGTAGAATTTATTCAAGAGCTGCCAAAGACTATCAGTGGAAAGACAAAAAGAAATGAACTGAGGAAGAAAGAATGGAAAACAATTTAAATGTGTTTCATTAGCTACCATATCTATAAAACAAACATATTATCTGTCAATCTCTAGAAACCACAAGATGGTGGAGAGGTGATAAAAACTGTGGTAGTATGCTCAGAAACTGTTGATTTAAAATATCTTGTGGTTATGATATCAGAGACTAAATTTTGAAATAAAATGTTTGGTAAATTCTTCTGCATTACTGTCAATATTCCCATCATTTCTTTTTCTTTTTTTTTTTTGAGATGGAGTTTTGCTGTTGTTACCCAGGCTGGAGTGCAATGGCGCGATCTCGGCTCACCGCAACCTCCGCCTCCTGGGTTCAAGCAATTCTCCTGCCTCAGCTTCCCGAGTAG